GGTGGTGTTGCTGCCGGACTCGCGCATTTCGGTTGTCCTGGCGGATGAACCGCCGCCCGATGCGGGGGCCGGGGATGACGCCGGCTGGGAGCATCGGCCCGCCGGCATGCTCGTCTCCTTTCTTTGTCGGGCCGCGAACTCGGCGGGCGTGATAGGGGGGGGCTCCGGGAAGTCGATTTTGAGCTACCTGTCGTGTGAGTGGGACTTTCTGCAGGTGCCGGGGCACCCAAACGAGGTTGAAGTACGTTTCGCCCTGGCGTTCGAGTTTAGGAATCCTCTCTACAGCAGGCTCATAACATCCAACATTGTGGACGTCATGACGCGGAGCTTTGAGAAACGATGTGAGCAGCTCTATGGACCGCCCTCGGTGCCGAGGCGGGTGCTGTCGCCATCCAAAGTTTAGGAAATCCGCAGGATGTGGATAGGCGGCGTCGTGCTGGGTGAATCCCCAGAGGGAAGAATCTCAAGGCGGGTGTGGAGAGACGCGAGGTATTAACTTCGTGTTCGCCGATGCGTAAGCCTTCAGGGAGAAGAAGAAGAAAAATAATGTCGTGCCTTTTGCGCTCAGAGCGCAAACAGCATCAGAGCAAGCCAACGTGAAGAGAGGGCGCTCTTCATTGTGATCGGGAGACGGCCGTGGTCGGCAGGAAGAGAATGTGGCAACGAGGATAGGAGGGGCTGCAGCTGGCACCCCACGGGGCGCCATCTGTGATATTCTTTTTGTATAATTTTTTTAACAGTGATATTAATATTAATAAGCCGCCTTTATGTTTCGCATTTGGTTCACCAGAATAGGATTCTTTCCGTAATGCACCTACATTATTATTTTCTTCCCACAGAGTGCCACACACCCTTTCAGGTGGTGACTATATCAATAGTGTAGGCAATGGAGGCAGACGCAAATCTGGCTCAAAGTATGGGCAGCCGGAGCGAGAATTCCATGTCTGGCGTGGACAGCCCCATGTTCGACGTTTCGTCCACCAGTCCGCCCGCGCGATACCCGTCTTATAGTGACAGCACCCAAGACGACGTCGCTGTCGCGATCGAGATTCTTGAGCGGCACGTCGAATTTATGACCTTCTTCTATCAGCACGTGACCACGAGCCCGCCGCACGGACCTTTCCGCTACTACACGGCCATAACTCTTGTGGAGCGCGCGAAGAAGAGGTTTGGAAAGCGCAGGAGTCTCGCAGACGACCCTCACCGCGCGGGCGCCACGACCGCTGAGTCGAGGGATGGGGTCTTGCCGGAGGCGAAGGGGCCCGCCCAAGGCAGCGGCGATGTGGGACCGACGTTTCACCACCACCGGCGTGTGCTGGAGGTCCTCAGCGTGCGCAATATTCTCGCCTTGATTGAGAGGAAATACAACACAAGGCACTTGGGCAGCTGGCCGCTATTGTACGTCCCGGCTGAGGTCCACGCAACGGACTTGCAGCGACCGGCATCATGAAAGGCGAGTGCGTGGGAGGGGTGGTCGGGTGAATTTGCCAGTTCCCATAGACGCGCAACCCGTTTGGGTCGCGCGGGTTTTTCTTTCTCGGGGCATGCCATTAGGTTGATAACGATTAGGAAAGGTATTAAAACCTGTACATTAACGAATTGACGCGACAGTATGCTTTTCCTTTCCCTATTTTTTCTCCTCCGTAGGCGTTTACTTGCTTTTATTTCTATAGAGTTTGCTTAACAATCAATTTTACCGACTTCTCCCTCCGTCTGCGCGGGTTTATTGCTTGCAGCTTTTTCCTTTTTTTTCTAGCTATACCTATTAACGCAACTTTAACAATTATTATTGGCTATTTTCGACTTCTTTACTAAACACCATCAATGTCATCACCTACCGGAGGCCGGCTACTGAGCCAATCGATCAGCTTTGTGGAATCGTGGATTGCGAGTCTGAAGGCTCCGCAGGAGGCCGTCGCCGCGGCCGTCCCCCCCTCTCTAGTGAAGAAACCGGCAGCCAAGGAAACCGCCAAATCGTCTCGTTTGCCGAACAAAAACGGCGCCGCGAGCAATGCGACCGCGATGTCCCGCTGCTGCTTCGCGATCGGCAAGATTGTCGAGGTCAGCAAGCACCCTGAGAGCAGCAAGCTATACATCGAAAAGATTGATCTCGGCCCGGAGCTCAACGCGGTCACGAACAACGAGCCACGCACGATTCTCAGCGGTCTGCAGGCTTACATTACCGAGGAGGATTTTCTGAACCGTTTGGTGCTCGTGATCGCGAATTTGAAGCCGCGCAAGATTGGTGGCATCGTTTCCAATGGCATGGTGATGTGTGCCTCTACCGAGGAAGGCCCGCACGATCCGTCCTCTGCCGAGCAAAAGTCTCACCAGGTGGTTCTGCTTGACATTCCGGAGGGCAGCGTCGTCGGTGAGCGGGTGGAATTCGAGGGCCACACCGGTCCTTACGAACCAGTGCTCAAAGGTAAACTTGCGGATAGCTTTGACGAGGTCATGGCGGAGGTTCGCACCAACGAGAAGGGAGAGGTGTGCTGGAAAGGTATCCCGTTTAAGACATCCGCTGGCATCATAACGGCCCCCTTGTGTAACGCGCGGATATCGTAAATAGGAAAGGAGCGTTTCCTCAATTCCATCGAGGCGTGGAAGTGGTGTGCGATGAGGTTATAAATATTCTAACGTAGTGTTAATTGATAATTAGAACAAAAATAGGCATATTCCTGTGGGTCATGTGGTCCCCCATCTCTAACCGCACTTTTTTGAAGCTACTAAGAGAAGCTATGGTGAAGCGAGTTCATGAGATGGAAATCTAGCTAGAAGCTGCAAGCATGAATTGTTGTGTTTGACATAGCGTAATATCTTTTCCTCCCTTTGCTTTCAATTGAGAGAATTAATCACGAAGGAGCAAATCTCCCTAGCATATTACACACTAGGCATTCCGCGCGCTAGAGCGGACGGCGCCCACAAGAAGTCATGGAAGGCATCGTCGACACGAGTAAACTGGGGTAGGCCTGTGCGCTTATGACGGATAGACGGTATCATTGTTTTCAAATCCATAATTGGGCAGAGGGTGCGTCCCACGTTGTCTCTTTCGTCTCGTGGTTCACGTAGAAGGTTCGTCCGGTCTGTGGGTCCACGCGTGCCTCCCAATTGGGCGGCAGAGTTTGAAAAGGGACGCCCGGTTTCGTCCACGATGTCTGCCTTGTGGCGTGGTTGACGTAAAAGATGCGACCCGTCTTCGGATCCACGTGGGGCTCCCACTTGTCCTGGCCACAGGTAGGGTACATCGCCGGCTGTTGTTGGGGGTTCGGATGCACGGTCCCCACTACGGGGTTCTGCGGCCTCGTCCAAGTGGTCTGCCGGGTCGAGTGGTTGACGTAGTAGACACATCCTGTGCGTGGGTCGATTCGCTGGTCCCAATTCGGCGGCAGTGATGTGTTGTCGTTCGTGCTGTTGGCATGGGTGGCGGGGTTGTAATTGGCAGCAGGTGGCATCCCCGTTCCCACTCCCGCCTGCGCGAGGTAGAGGGCAGCGACGTTACGCTCCAACTCCGCCTGTTTTTCATGCCCTAACGGGTGCTGCCAGCTCAATTGCGTGTTGTTCTGCGAATCCGTGTGGACGTAGTAATGGCGCTGACGGCTCGGATCGAACTGCAGGACCCAGCCTGGGGGGAGTTCTGTGGAGACCATCGGCCTAGGGGCGGTGCTAGCAAAGGGGAGACCGCCACCGGCATCCACTGGCGGCGTAGTGGCTGGTGGGCGGTTGCCGTCTTCCAGAGACCCAGCGTTTGGAGGCGATGCTTGCGACCCCGATGACTCCTCGGGCGGTGCAGATCCTTTGTTAGGGGCCGCGTCGCTCCCAGGAGGGGGAGTGTTGTTATGGCTCGCGGGGGCCTCGTTGTTTGCCTGCTCCGAAGCAAACGGGTCGGGTAGCCCTTGTAGCGGCGGCGGTGAGAAGAATGACAGCTCCTCCGTGACCTTGTGCTGGGATTTTCCCTCGGTTGCCTCCTGCGTCGCGCCAGCGTCCCCGTTTGTTGCAGGGTTATCGATCAGGCTGTCTTGTAGCCGCTTCAATTGGACCACCACGGCCAGTGGCAACTCCTTGCCTTCCCGCTGAAGTGCTGCCAGCACCGCAGAGGCGGCTTCGGTGTTGGGGATGAAGGAAATCCCTTCGCGTTTCTCCATCATCGCGATCCCCGTGCCATAGGAGGCGCTGATGTACCCGAACAGCTCTTCCGCGATTTCGTCGCCTTCGTAGATCGCAAACAGGGCGTCACAGCCACGGCTTGTAATAACACCCAGGGCCGATGCTATGTACGCATTCGGGGTCACAAAGCAGAAGATCTGCCCAGATGTGATGGCAGAGTCCCTGGTTGCGGCCTCCCCGTGCTTAGGCATCATCGCGAGGATGATGGCCTTTGTGCAGAGCGCTGCGTCCACCGGAGAGCCCGTGCGACCGCGCACGCTTTCCAAGACTGTGATTTGAAACCTTACACGGCGCGTCGCGGAGGTGACGATTTTGCGCTGCCGCTCTTCTAACGAATTAAAGAAGGCGGATGAAAAGAACATGACTCGGACGTCGAAGCTGACCGCCGCGCCTTCCTTCGAGGCTGCGACATCACCCTTGCAGATTAGATTCACTAGAGAGGCCTCAAGCCGTTCCACTGCCTCCTTCACCTCCGCATCGGTGTTCGGCATGAACCCTGTCAGGAAGTAGTCCCCATCCACCAGAAGGAAGATCATATGGATCGATTGGTTTAAGCCACCGTTTTCAAGCTAAACACGAGCAAAGGAAGGACAGATATAAATAGAAATATATATATATATATATATATACATATATATATATATATATATATATATATATTGCAAAAAAAAAAGTATTGTTGTCTCGCTGAAGTAATAGGAAATACACGCGATAAAATATGGTAAATAACTAACGTCAAGCAAAAGCGATTGGTAAAACCAAACAATGCAGAAATTATGGACAAAAAGTCAAATTCAAGGGTTCTATCCTGGAAATACACGCGATCTGTTTCTGGGGAGAAAATAAAAGGAAAGAAGGGGTGAAAAAATGGAAGGAAATACGCTAACCGCCTCGAAAATAAGTAAGTGCGTCGTCCCGTTTCACTTTATCAGGGCAGAGTATTCACTTTGTCGATGACGGACTCTGCGCATCCTCTCTGAAAAGCAATAATTACAAACAAAAAAGCAATGAATAGCAGAATCTGGGAAAAAAAGATAAACTACACTGACGTACCGATAAAAAGGGTAATGACAGTAACCACGAGAGGGCAAGCCTCATGCTTTCATTTTGTATCACTACGGAGTGCGATGTGCGTGGGGTGGGGGCAATGTTGCTGTTCGGAGGCGGAGGAAGCGCATGGCACCTCCTCCCTCCCCCTCCCCTCCTTCGCTTTGCGTGGCACACTGGCTTAACCCAAGCAGCCCGGTTTCCCCCCTCAGTGGGTCTCGATACGGGCCCTCAGGAGCACGGACACGTTGTCAGCCTTCTCGGCGATCCGTACGACGTCCGCGATGGGCATCCACTGCGGTTCCGCGTTCCCACCTCGATTCTCCGGCCTGGGCAACTCTCGTGGGGTACCAGCGTCGGCCCCAGCCTCCTGGAGAACTTCGAGCAGCTCCCGCAGCGGTGGCGGGGGAGGGGCCGTGCAAGGATGGAGGGGCACGCCTCTCCCCAAGAGGCCGTGCGCTCGACGGTAGATCGCCTCCTCCCGGAGGACATCGCGAGCCTCCTCGACGTCGACGAGGAGAAAGCGCAGGTGCGGCCTCAAGCGCGTGTCGTTCCACGCCGAGGACCAGGCCGCCGCCGCGGGCCCGTGGAGAACGGCCTGCAGGAAGCTGAGGAGCCGACTCAGGGCGCC